CCCCACCCCCCGGCCAAGGGCATCCGGAGGCTGCGAAACCGTCGGTGTTGGCAGGGAGGCAGGGCGAGGAGCGCGGGATGTGGGGTACTACAGCGCGGGAGGCAGCGGCGCAGGCTCCTTACAGTGACCCTGGGACTACCTTCAGTCCGTTTTCACTTCGGCATTAATATTTCAGGTTGCAGGAAGCCACTTTACACGTAATACGATCTTGCTCAAACGTTTCGCTTCATAACAAAACAAGCAGGTGCTTAAATAGCAGATGATTAAGTAATCTGCTATTCGCAGCCTGAGCAAAAGACATGTTCAGTATTTATCACATCAAGGGAACATTTTCTTCTATAAAGTAAAAAAAAATCTGTGCAATTCTTTTGCAGTCTTTGTGCAATAGATCGGTATCACGTTTCTGAGGACGAAATGTATGCGAACAGCAGTCCCGGGATCCCACACAGGCAACCCGATCCGTATCAGCAGAGCTGCGTAGATACAGAGAGCAGCGTCTGGCCCATCACCGCCCGTCGGGACTGGGGTGGACGCTGCAGCCTTTGCATCATTTACCCGTCGAAGAGGGATTTCTACCTGAAAAAAAACCTGCAGATCTGCACTATCAGATCAGAAAGGCATTGCAGTGAAATCTGTGGCAAGCCAACCTCAATCAGACCAGAGCAAACCCTTCTCTGTACAGCAAAGATCCACGTGGCCGCAGCCAGGGAACTGACTGCTGTTCTGACAACCCCACTTAAAATGCTTCGTAGGACAGTCACGTTTTCATTAGGCAAGAAGAGAGGGAAAAGCCTTCCCTTTCTTGGGGAGCTAGGTGAGCTAGGGACTGGGAAGAAATTTCACAGCTTTTCATGACGAAGGCTTTGCCCTGCTGAAATCAAGGGGGACAGTCCCCAGCAGAAGCAGCACAAGGGAACAGAGGTATTTAGATGTCAAAGCATGCAGCTAATTTGATACCACACAGGATTTTAAGAAGGACCAGTGGACTCCCTGAACTTGGGTTCCTAATTGCTTTTGAAAATCCTTCTGGGAGTTTGATTATGTCTCGGCTTTTAAATACCTCCAAAAATCCGCTCTTTGGTCCTTAGCCAAACTTTTCGTCTGCTTATCCTGGCCTGTATTTAAGTGACAAGCCAGGCAGTGCAGTGGGCAGGGCATGTTGGCATTCGGGTACTGTCTCTGCTGTCCCAGAAGTGGGAGATGATATTAGGATGGATGCAGCTTTGCGTTTGTTCTTTTATTCCAGTGCTGTATCTGTCTTCACTAGTTAGCAGCTGGAGCTTCGCCTGGTCTCGCAAATGACGTGTATCTCTGTGTCAGGGATGCAGACATCCAAAATACGTTAACCCTTGGGGGTGTGTTTTCATGCTGTGTTATCAGTTCAAAGAAACCTATCAGCAGTGAAGGGGACACTCTGTGTGCGTCCTGACCTTCCCATCTCAGACAGGCATCGGCAAACTCCATCTCGTCAGTTTTGCTTGAGAGGGGGTTGACCTTTTGTGATTTCCAGGCAGTTCCTTCCACAAACCTTTTAAAAAAGCAGAGATTCAGAAGTCCTAATGGCAAACACGGTATTTGTATGTAATAAAGAGATGGCTCCTGTCACGAAGATTTTACAACCTCAAAATAAGCTGAAAAGTTGTTGTTGTTGTTTGTGTAATACTAGATTAATTTTGTGTGACTCACAAGATTATCCATGGGATGATGTCCATTTTTCCACTATCAAAACAAGTGCTACATCAATGATAAGTAATTCCTTGTAAGCGAGGGACATCTTGGAATATAAATTAGGAATCTGGATAGAACAGAAATGTTTTACATTTCATTTTACATTTTATCTACATTACGTTTTATCTACATTTTGTCTAAATAAAAGCAATATTTTACATTTAATCCTAAATTAGGCACACCTTGGAGTATAGATTAGGAATTTGGATAGAGCAGAAATATTTTACATTTTATTTAAATGAAAGCTCTGATAGAACAGGTCCTGGCACAAATCCATTCCTG